TATATATGCGTTTTAAGCTATCTTGGATATTGTCATTTGATTTCTAAAGTATTAATCTTGAAATTACTTATTTATATTGCTTGCATTCAGACATTTCACAATTATTCATCTATTCGTAGGTTCTCATATGAAAAGTGATCCAAATAAGTGTTTGAAAAAGCAAGTAATTTACCAATATTTTAGGAACTATATCGTTTCTAGAGCCGTTCAGTCTTTACTTCCAAGCATTAATCTCATCATCAACATTAGCTGTTGATAGTTCACCTGCACTAGGATTAGCATGTGATATAGGAAACAAGTAAAGATTTTGGAGACACTCTATTTTAATATGTTGCGTTTCCTGTTAGAAATTAATTTAACGTAATTTAATTTTCTTTGTATTTTAACAAATTCGTCTGGATAATTAAAACGGAATGAATCAAAATTTGAGGAAACATTATGAGTAGTACTGTACCAAAGCGAAGAAAATTAGGTTCATTTGTTTCGCGCTCGAATCGGAGAAAATTTTGACCGCTATCACTACCCAGTACTGAATCTGGTATACGTCCAAATCGTAAAAAATTGGGATTAATATTATTTCTATCGTTGTTTAATGATAGCACTGTAAGAAAAACATGAATATCAGTAAATATTATTCACAACTTTGGTCGAATACGAGATTAATATTGTCAATTCAGTAACTGTTGCTTAATATAAACTTGCGTAATTTTCATGACGTTTTTGCTCGTTTGCTTGGTTCAGTTACTTGTGCAAGCATATTTGAGGATAGGTGATTTTAGATGACATGAAACACGAATAAGGAAACTTTTAAAATGCTGAAACCGGGATTCTAATATTTTTAAATCACTTGATTACGTTAATTGATCTGTCATAATAATGTAGAACGATATGATAAATAGAGTAAAGAAAAATACTAGCTCTGCCGAATCGTATGAAATTTGGTTTTCTTTTCTCAACTAGTCTGATTGCATCGTCAACAGCGTTGTCTTTGCAAGCTTTTCCAAGATATTGCTCTACTTCAGCTTGTTCAGAATCCGAAAGCATGTTGAAAATAGAACAGAAATCTGACGTACTTCTACTCATGCAACATCCATGAGATACCTAGAAACTGGCAATCTTAACTAATTTTTTATCAGCTTTTTTTGTAGTATTGCAGTTAGCTAGATGGAGGAATCATTATGCACCAAGCAAGTATTGGTGATTCATTGTTAGAAACATACCAATTCCTCATGAATTTTAAGAAAATTTTTTTATAAATTTGCAGCGCGAAGAAATGGTCGATGGCTATGAGTTAAATTCCAGGTGCACTAAACTTTTTTCGTTAATTTTCCCTGTCTGCTTGTATCTTACTTTTTTGCCTTATTTGCTATGAAAGTAAAAATTTATGGGCTGAAAATTTGAAAGTTCGCAAATAACGAATATCGCCATCGAATGGGAGCAATGTGTTTTCATTACAAATGTATTACTTTAATTTTTTATACTATGTCAATTTATTTTGTTTAACGGAGAAATTTATGACGTTCACATTTGCTTCTGCATTTTTGAAATAAATATTTCAATACTTTCGTTAACAAGAGCCGCAAATTATCATTACATGTTTCAATAAATCCGTTTCTTTGCATTTAACTGATTAGTCAGTAAAGATTTTAATGATGCATTCTTAGAACACAGTCTCTCTAAAGGCCAGGTATTTATGAATTTAGAAAAATATAAATGAAATTCGAGGTTTGATGGGAGCGCAGTCATTTAAAATGGTGTATAATTATGCAGGCTTAGTGCAGCAAAATGAAATTAATTACCTGTATCAAGCTCCATATCAAGAGAGTTACATGCACTGGAACCATGACTGAGTAGCTTTAAGGCCTTTCTGATTCAAATATTTATATACAGAGCAGTGCTAATGAAATTATTTATTGGTTTAAAGGATGCCACATGTGCCCCCAAAATATTTAATCCACCCTTCCTTGGAGATCATTGTTTATAAACATAATAACCTATTTGTTTACACTATGCAACAATTATATTACATAGAACATTACCATGTTACATAGTAATGTGCTACAGATTATACAATATTTAGTGAATGTCATATTATATTTATTTATTCACATATTTGTATTCACTGTATTGTTATGTCACGCAAGATAACGTTTATTCAATCCCATCCACTGTAATTCAAAATCGCCAAATTGTTATTGAACGTTAATTTCATTTAAAACTGTACCCTGCATTAATAAACATGATTATATAAATGTCAAGCACAGTTTTGACACTATTATCTGTAAAATAGGATGAAATAATAAGTTTTAAATGAAGCGTGACTGCCAAAAACATTGTATTCAAGAAATTACGTGTAAAGTTTGGAAAAAGGGGTCCCAAGTCTTATCCATTTCTTTTCGTCTGCATTTGCAACAGTTTATAACTTTAGTTGTTTTCCTCTCTTCCTTTTGAAGCAACAGAATCACATATATTCTTGTCAGAATACAACGTTTATTCATACAGAACTTCTAATAATTCGTATTTTAATTACACACTGACTGCTTGCAATGTTGCCACGAAATTTATATGTAGAAATGAATTTTGTCTTACACAAATTTTTTAACATTTCGATTCCGAATTGTTTCATTATTTTAGTCTTTTTAATATAAGATATCGACTTAGAGATGAATATAAGTGAGGGGTTTCAAACAAATGAGCATATTTTACTGAGTAAACATTGGCAAAACGAAACATTGGCAAAACGAAACATTGGAATTATATTATTTCGTCTTCATTTCTTCAGCATAACGAATGTATAGTTCAACTTTTGTACGAGGAAAGTTTCAGATCTTGTGTCTATGACCTAGCTTTTAAACCGGATGGATCTCAATTACTTGTCGCAGCAGGAACAAGAGTTTTAGTATATGACAGTACAGAAGGAACTTTGCTGCACTCTCTGAAAGGTTAGTGATATCGGAAAGTTTTGTTTTAACAGAAGCCTACTTTTCATCATAATCAATTACTGTGTGAGCACTTCCATTTTTCCTTTCATTCATGCCCAGTCTTCTTTTGCAGGTCATAAAGATCTCGTCTATGCTGTAGCTTTTTCTCATGATGGTGAAAAATTCGCTTCCGGTTCTGCGGATAAGTCCGTGATAATTTGGACAGAGGAGCATGAAGGCACTCTCAAATACACGTAAATTTTGTTTTTTTCAGCCCAAATTCGATTATCAGCTTAATTTCCTTTTTTTTCTAATATCTGATCCAGAAAACCTGATCTTTATATTTATATGCTGTTATATATTTGTTACATAACAACATATATATTCTCGGCCTTGCCGAGGTGCTGAGCGGTTAGCTCAGAAATTTGGTTCTGAGCGACTGTGTTGAAAGGACATAAAATGAAGGCTAAAAGGAAAAAGCCCGCATCTGGAACCACAAATAAAAACG